GTGGCAGTCGCAGTGGCAGTGGCAGTGGCAGTGGCAGTGGCAGTGGCAGTGGCAGTGGCAGTGGCAGTGGCAGTGGCAGTGGCAGTGGCAGTGGCAGTGGCAGTGGCAGTGGCAGTGGTAGTGGCCGTGGCAGTGGTAGTGGTAGTGGTAGTGGTAGTGGTAGTGGTAGTGGTAGTGGTAGTGGTGGTGGTGTTATAGTAGTAGTAGTAGTAGTGGTCGTCGTCGTCGTCGTCGTAGTAGTGGCAGTAGTAGTAGTTATAGTTGTTGTTGTTGTTGTTGCAGTAGCAGTGGCAATAGTCGTCGCCGTAATCGTAGTGCAGGGGGGTCCACTGCGCTTCCGACCGGAATGCATCCAGAGCACAATCTGGGGCGGGGGAAAGAAGCGGACGGGGGCCAAATGCATCTAGAGTGCAGTGCGGGGTGGGGATGATGACGTCCGGGCCGAAGGGGGGATGAGGTGGGGGGAGTAACGCTAGAAGGCTGAAGTGTACTGGGGTTACTGGGGGAATATGACGTCGGTGGCAAGGCGAAAAACCGAACACGGCATGGCAGGGAGGCAGGGGGGGTACATGCCCGAGCCTGTTGCTACAAGTAGCCTGTTGTTCCTGTTCAGCTACGATTGACGAGAAAGCTTTTCGGCCCGGCACCGTTGCTCCTCCAAATTGTGGCAGCTGTGTCATCTCAACACTCCTCTGCTGTCTCATATCATCTCGCGGCTCAGTTCTGCGTGTCACAGAAATGTTTTGCACACGGCACAAGCTTCCCCGTCTCTCTCCGTGAAGAGGTTCAATTTCAGGTGTGTGTTTGTGTGTGATCTCACTGACGGATACAAGTAATCAGACCACGTGTTCTTTCTCTGCAGGCCCTGCCAGCTGCTATGAGTCAGTCAAGGCCTTCCCTGTTTGAACTTTTCTGTCTGTGTGGATCTCCGTCAGTCTCGCTGATCTCCTTCTGCATCTGTCTGCTAGGCTGTCTCAAGGGACGAACTCTTTCAGATGTCTTCAGGGAGTGTGCCAAGCAGGCTGTGATGAACCCATAAATGCTGCAGGTGTGCAAGCAGGGAGAACGGTCGGATGAGTTCAGGCTCGCATCGGGGAACTCATGTGCTGGGGCACGGGCACACTGTCTGGCCGCTGGTTCTGAGCTTTATCTCCGATTTCGGCCATGCGGCCGACCAAAAAATCAACCTGTCGAAAACACAAATCCGGAAAGATGCGGCAAGGACGTCCACTGAGCTTCAAGCACTGAACATCCGATCAAAACATTACAGTTCTCAAGTCAACACAGAGGCTAGATAGAAGTTATGCAACTGCAACGATAAAGTTCGGGATGAAGCTTTGCAGTGTTCGAGCTTCCAAAAGATTACGGCGTGCATGCCGCTGGCTCTGTGTCTCAGTCGAGTCATAAAATGCACTGGCAACATACCACAGGCTCCAACCGCCGCCTGGTCATTCCAAGCGCTTGAATTGTTGTGTAAATTTTCTTTCATCATCCTCGCCAGACCAAGCAATGGCTCGACCAAAGGCTGCAAAAAGATCCGCCTCTTCAGGCTGTCCAAAGTGTCGTGCGGCTCCTTCCAGTCATTTCATACAAAAATGGCGGCTCAAAGAGTCAGTCATATCAGCGGTAAGATCGCGGCTGTATAAACACGATTGATGATCTCGACAAGCCTCTGCATCATGTGCACGGCACCCCGCTCCGCTGCAGACCCGAATCTGAGGCCCAGGCTTATCATTCATCTTTCCTCGAGCTTCAAGAAATTGCCTCCACATACAAGACTGAATAGCCATGTGATGTATGGATGTATGCGGCATGCGTGCACAGGTATATGCGTTTGAACAGTGCTGTGATTTAAGACTTGGCTCCTGTATGCAAAGCACGTATTGCGCCAGCACACTTAAAACTCTCTGTCTGGCCATCTACATTCTAAAATACCCGTGTAACCCCCTGCTTTTGCAGGGCATAACCATACATTACATGTAATGCACGCACCTATGCAGGGACACGTATACGCTGCTCTGTCAAATTTACGATCTACGTATACGCTGCTTTGTCATATTTATGCTTCATCTATCACTTCTAACTTCTAATCATGTGCACAGACACGAAAGACGGACAAGCACGAAGAGAAAAGGCACATGTCGCTTCGCATAGACGGCTGCAGCACCCCTTGCCTTTTCATGTGACGAACACGTTCTCGCGGCTTTGTACAGGCACGCTGCACACAGGACAACTTTGTAAAGATCCTGCGCATCCAGAGCAGCAGCAGAAGTGCCGGCACGGCTGCAGCACAGTGTTCCGAGCTGCATCCATACCTCGAGGCAGATTGATCTTGCTGGTGCAGGAAGCTTGCAAACTGAACCATGACAATGTCCTAAGGGAATGAAGTCTCTTTCCGGAATATGCGGCATCATCAACATAAGGACACATCAGTCTCGATGAACGTTGGATCGAACGTCTGTTCCGGGAAGAACAAACTCTAAATACATCAACAACTGTTGTTCATCTGGCGCCGTGGTAAGCCCAAGCACAGATTCTCCTATTTCGCACCGAAGTAAGTTCTATAGCCAGCCACAAGAACATTTTGGTTTCTTGTGTTTTGATGCCTTCTGAAACCGAGCTTCAGCTATGAAAGCTGCCCTCCCGAAACCAAGTCAAGAAGCAGACGACACAAGCCAAGGCGTCTCGATCTTCTCGGCTTCGAGCAGCTTCGGAAGCAGTGTCGGCTGGCAGGTTTCCCAACTGCCCGTCCAAGTCATGCCAGTGAAGGGCATCCTCCCGAAAGAAGCCAAGGAAGCAGCCCCATCTGGAAGCTGAGCGAATCATGTTCTGCGTCACTCCCTGCGGAGATGAGGATTGAAAAAACAATGAAACCTGAGCCTCGAATCGCCCCACCCATTGACAGCAACTATTGAAGCCTCCCAGATGAACTCTTTCCTGCCTTGCCCAACTTGCTTGAGTCGGTTTGCGACAAGTGTTTCATCAAGCGGTTCATCTTGACAACATGTTGGAAGACTTGGGCATCAGTGCAGTCGTCACGAAGGAGACCACTATCTTGGAGCAACCAAAACACAAGAAAATCGTTCAACTTTGGTCTGTTCGGATCTCCGCAGCGCTTGCCGGCCCGCGACGTCTGCACCTGAACCCAAAGCTCATTGCTTGAGAATTCGGTCCGAAGCCGCATCAGCACCGATGTCGAAACCTGCCGCGCATGCTTGGTAGAAAAGAAAGATCTCGGATCCGAGGGGTAGCTGTTCTGGAAGTGCAACAACTCTTGATGCGCCTCTGCATCATCTGAAACAGCTTTGGCACGGAATTGAAACCTGATGTCCTTTCCCGTCTCCTTGTACAGTTTCTCCATAACACGAACTCGATGCTGGCCATCCATGACATAGAAGTTGTGAGTGGTGCTATTCAGGAGTATGAGCAAGTTGATCTGTCCAAACTCACAAAAGCGTCCGTGCCTTGACAGCTCCTTGAGGTTGTGACGTACCCTCTCGTCGACGACGTCGTCATTTATGGCTCGATTGCTACTCATGGACTCGAACCTACACTTGGATTCCATCACGTTCTTCCACTGAAGGAAGCCAGTATACACACGGCCATCCAGATCTCTTACCACCAACCTGCTGGCAACGCCCTCCTCCATGATGCTTACCTGCACAGGCCCAACATTTGGCACAAAACCGCCAACAACTGACGAGGTATACTATGAAAACAAGCCAGGCAGTGGTATGTCACAGTCACAAGCGCATGATGCACTCACAGTTGCTAAAGGGGAAGTATAAGACTGCGAACTTGTGGCAGCATGCGAATCGCCGACTCGAGGACGCACCTGTCGTTGCGACTCCATGGCAACCAGATCCCTGAAGCTATGACTTGTGCCGTAGACATTCTACAAGTCTATGGGAAGTATTCAGCGGATCCAAAAACCTGCGGTCAGTGTTGAGACGGCAAGCAAGGGATTGATTCGAAAAAGGCACCACCCTCTGTCAGGCGGCTGCACGAAGACATGTGAAGCAGCCTCCGCTGCAAAGCATGACGACCTCTCTGACCCCGGTGCTTGGGTCTTTCATGCTCCTGAGACAAGCTTGCCACACAGGCATGCAGTGGCGCAACCAACATGCCTGTTCTTAGACAACGCGCACGGAGTCCTTGTTGTGACAGAAAGCGCATGTTTCCGCATGCTTGCACGAATCATCTGGCCTGCACTGCTTCCCAGCAAGAACTGAATGAACTGCGATGGCATGGGAATCCTCAAAGCAGCTACTGGAAAAACACCAGCCAAGCCTTTCGGGGTTGTACTTGTTGCACGGCTTGCAACCGCCATAATGATGACCCACACTACCAGGGTTGCCTCGGAAGCTGCCATCAAGCGGAAAATGCTGGGTTCACACAGTCTTCCACTTGTGCACACAAAATGCACAGAATACAACTGCTGAGCTTGCATGAGAATTCCGTCGTTGCGTTTGATATGTTCACAGATTCACAAGAGGCTTCTGGCTAAATCCCAAGTTGCATGGGTTATCAGGATCAACTCTCGGCTTGTGGTTGCGAAGGGGTTGGTCTTGAACTGGAGGCTCGGCGAGAGCAGACTGTTGGATAAGCGAGTCTGCAGAAGGGCCCGTGGTGTGCATGCGCCGACTCAGTGTCCGCCAACACCTCAGCCACCAAAGAAATGCTTCATCGTGGAACCCACAAAAGATTATGGATGCTTGTTCATAAAGCAATGGAATGCCCAAAAATGTGCCCAATCACACTGGGGATCGAGCCAAAAAGCTGGAAGGTAAGCAAAGCTTACCCTCCGCTATCAACAATCCAAACTGTCACCATTTGCAGCTTCGAGCCAATGGCTGAAGCTTTTACGCAAACACATGCGAGCAGAGTCTCCGATTACCGATTTGTGTCAATACGACTCACGGTTCAATTAAAAGTTCATCAAATACAAAAATGCAAAGACGAACTCCGAACTCCTGCGGCTCCAAAGTTATTCAGCCACTTATGCCCACATCGAGACAAACTCACAAGATTGAACGAAACCAAGTGACGAGAACCTGTCACGATGCACAGAACACCCAACGCCAGCTGCGATGTGAGCATCTGCAACCTCCGTCCGAATAGCATTGTTGTGTAAACCCACAACATCCTCGGCAACCGTTTGGACTTTGCTGAACTCCAAGATGTTGAATCGGCAATGCTTAATATAGATATTTCTCCTGGCCGAATTTCTTTTTGGACGGGGAGGTTGAGCGCCTGCGCAATGACATGCCGGCCATGCAGGAAACTTGTGGGAGAGGCTTTAAAAACATCAAAGTATATCTAAAAATGCATCAAAAATCAAAGCATGTAAAGCCTAGAAAACACAATTTGGGTGGAAACCAACAAACAGGAGAAAAACAAAAAAATGAATGAATGAAAGCTAAAGACAGAAAACGAAAAAAACAATGACACACATCATGAACGAGGGAAAGCAAGAAAGACGAAACTAAATAGCAAACACGAAAAACGAAATATTGGACGACTAACACACAAACATTGAACCCCAAAGCAAGAAATTCATACATACAACACAGCATATGTATGTGTAACATTCATGTGTATGTGTATATATATACATATGCAACTTATCTGCAATTTATTCGTACATTATTTCCCTCTTGTTTATACATATATTTCGATATTCATATCTATATATATATATATATCATATATATATATATACACAAGTACGAAACAATTTAGATACATGCAAACATATGTGTATACAGATGGTTGTGTGTATATATATACTATGTATTTATAGAATACATGTAAATGTTTATGTACATATAGCATATGCCATGCATGTGTGTATATATGTATATGCATATGTATACACACAGAAGACTGAATGTACATATGCGTATGGGTATAAATATGTATATTAACAAATGAAAAAACGTATACACATATACTGTGGAGGCCCCTTGTCCGCGGCAACGTTTTCGAGCTGTTTCCAACCCCCGAAAACTGGCCCTGCATTTGGGCGGTTATTGCCACCTTAAGCCGATCCACATCTCAGCCTTTTCGAAATTGGCA